CAGAGAAAAAAACGAAGGAGTAGTAAAAAAAAACTCTCTCCATCTTTATATATTATACATTTACTAAATATGTAATATATAAAAATAGATTTTTGTAGTTCCTCCTTTTGACGCTCTATTGCTTGATCTGTGAATAAAATCAATACTTAGTGACTGTCTCCTAGTCATCAATCATCTTCTTTCCCATTAATAATCTCTATATTTGCGCCATGGGTGGAAAATTAAAATCATAATCCGAAATGAACATGCTCGCTAATTGCGTGTTTCATGATTTGGAAATATTTCGCAATTTAATATTCACCTGATCCCACCAAATTCTGATGAATTGTAGCTTGAAACAAAAACAATCTTTGTGTCTACTGTGAAAAAAAAAAAAAAGAATAAAACAAAACCATGTGAAACTTGACGTAAATAAATATATTATATATAAGAGAAACACATGCACGCACACTCTGGTAAGGTGTGTAGGAGAGGTACAATATATTTCTAAGACAGGTGCAGAACTGACTCACAGCACTACCTGCTGGACAACATAAGAAACTGCTGCTGTGAAAAGGAACAATATGTATCTTATCTGAATAATGTAATGTACAGCAATAATTTGTAACACTATGTATCTGTCCTTTTAAATTTACATATATGAATATTAATGTATTATTACATGTATAAACCAAAAATTATAAACTATCATTTATTTTTATATTTTCTATACAATGACTGCTTAAACAAAACTATTGTTAAATAATTCACCTTTTTCAAACAGCCTTGGGTATAAAAAGAATGTTAATTAAACATTTCCAGGAGAGAAAAATTAATATTTGTTATGTGAACATTACTATAAAACAATGTCATTTAGAATAAACCGGTGGGCATTTGTATAACGTGTATCTCAATCATACACTTAATGCTACAAGAGACCTGTAACTTGACGTTGGGTTTAGAAAGCCATCAGTCTGTTATTTTGTTCAAACACGGTGAGACATATACATAAAATTATATAAAAAGGGATTCTGAGGATAATCTGCCCCAGACTTTGGTCGGACTGATTGAGATTAACAATATTTCTTAATCAGCTGTCATTTACTCGAAGCAAAATGTCTAATAAACTTAAATTAGAGTATTAGTGTAACTGTACTAATGTTGGCATGTACAAAACTGAAAAACTGAAGAAATATAGATATGAATAAATACAATAATAATAATAATAATAATATATATTTTTTTATTGATTTAACTGTATATTTAACATTTATTATAATACTGTATACAGTGTGTGTATAGGTTTGTGTTTATAATTTGCAAATAACACAGACAATAAAATTATTTATTTTAGAAATAGCAGTATATGATGATGATAATGTAATAATAATATTCTGCTTGTCAGCAACATTAATAGGAACATTCATCATTATTTTGTTATTTACTTTTTGTCTACCTACCTGGAAATAAAGTGATGACATTTCTCATTTTCTCCTCGAACCATGCTTTTTACCTGTTCCTAGATCCAAGTCATATCTACTGTATTGTATATGATACAAAGCAGCCAAAAAGAAAGATGAGCTCACAAAGGATGTTTTTATTTTTCAGTAATAGATTAATTACTTGTCTAGAAGAGCAGGGTTGCGTTTTTAAGCTATGCTAAGTCATTTCTGGAAGAATGTTTATTGAAGGGCATTGAACAATTTAACAATATGAGAAGGTCAATTTAATTTAATTTTTTTTTTTTTTTTTTGAGGGACATATCTTTTAACTAGGCAGGTGCAGAAGCATTGTGAAGCCATGCATATTCCCAATGGAACTGACAATAATTGTTTCCATTTAACAAATATTCTTCCCAAGGGCATTTTCAATTAAAGATACACTTACACACCCCAAACAAGCTGCTTGAATGCAGAGAGTTGTAATTTCAAATCTATTAGAGAGAGAGAAAAAAACGCTTTGAGGCGGAGTGCCAGTGTTTTATAACAGAGACAGAGAGAAAGTAATCATTAGATGCACAGACACAATGCTGACAGACAATGTGACAGTGTATACATTGTATCTGTTTATATGTTTTATAGGATTACGTTGTGTGTTTATCAGATCGCACACTGGTTTAGACGTAATTAGAGGCTGATCGCTGTAAAAACTGTTTGTCTTTAGCTCCTTTTGTTATTTTTTATTTCCTAACAAATAAACTCATCCTACCCTTTCTTTAAATATATTGAAATAAAATAAGTGAAAAACATTTTCGATATATTCTGAATGTGAATGTGTAGGTATGCAATTATAGCTATATTTATTAATAGATGTATCTCTACCTGTATGTATTTCTGTGTATGTTAGTGTGTGTGTGTGTGTGTGTGTGTGTGTATATATATATATATATATATATATATATATATATATATATATATATATATATTATATTATATTATATTATATTATAATGCATACACACATATATTCCATGTATACATATATTATACAAATACACATTTATGTGTGTATGTGTATAATGCAAATAAACATTAAATGTGTGTGTGTGTGTGTGTGTGTGTGTGTGTGTGTGTGTGTGTGTGTGTGTGTGTGTGTGTGTGTGTGTGTGTGTGTGTGTGTGTGTGTGTGTGTGTGTGTGTGTGTGTGTGTGTGTGTGTGTGTGTGTGTGTGTGTGTGTGTGTGTGTGTGTGTGTGTGTGTGTGATGTGACTATACATGTATTATAATATGTGTAGAATATATATCTTCTACAACCTCTCCGTAGGCGAAACAAAGTTTATTTTTCCTGTGTGTAAATAAAGAATTTAGGGACACTGGCATGCATCACCTTGTTTAGGTAAAGTCCCAAAGTACCTCGCTAGTATCACCTCTCTCTGTACCGAAGAGGTGCTCGCCTCTCCTACTGACAGTCACTAAAATAATCACCTAACACCCTTTCTATAAAAGCAGGAGGAGTTGAGGAGTTTGGGCTGCTTCTATTAGTGGATTAACTAACAAAAGCTGCCTTCTTAATCTGCTCTATTTAGTGTGTTCCCTTTCTGTGCCTCCTGTCCCCTTGGTGCTGTATGTAGGGATTGTGCTTTGGTGTGGAGGGTATTCTGGATAGGCTCACAGCTGATTGGATGTCTATGGCAGGGGTGTGAATCCGTTTGATCACTAGATTGCACGTCGTACTAAGCAGGAAAAAAAGGCTTTGAACTTCTCCACTTTTGGCTGACTGTATTTATTTTCCTATATGCTGTTCCTTGTTCCCAGCAAGGTGCTTTTTCTAAACAAGACACCTTCAGGAAGTAGGGAAATCATTTGTAGGAGAGTATTTTTTTTTCTCTCCTCCTATCTTTTTTTCACCTGCCTTTTTTTATCACACACACACAGAGGCATACACATACACATGCACACACCTTGCACCTCAAGACAAGACACTACTTCCCTGGACCTAAAGAACGCCTGGGTTTTCAACGTTCTATAGCTGCTCCTTCATCAAGTGAAGCTCATACAATCACTCAGTGGGGAGGTCCACGTTTGACTTCAAGATTATTTTTTGTTCAACCACTGAGCATCTGGCATGATTAGTTAAGACTTCATTCTTCATTTTCAAAAGGAAGAGAAAAGGGGGAGAAGTGGAGTTGGCAGTATCTGGTTCCAGAGATTGAGCAGCACCATGTCTAAGCCTGTTGATCATATCAAGAGACCCATGAATGCCTTCATGGTGTGGTCCAGAGGGCAAAGAAGGAAGATGGCCCAGGAGAACCCCAAGATGCACAATTCGGAAATTAGCAAAAGACTTGGGGCTGAATGGAAACTACTATCCGAAGCTGAGAAAAGACCCTACATAGATGAAGCCAAAAGGCTCAGAGCTCAACATATGAAGGAGCATCCCGACTATAAGTACAGACCTCGGCGCAAACCCAAGAACCTTCTGAAGAAGGACAGGTATGTTTTTCCCTTGCCCTACCTGGGAGACCACGATCATCTTAAGACAGGACTTTCTCTTAGTGCCACTGACTCCATCCTGGGGGCTTCAGAGAAGGCGAGAGCTTTTTTGCCACCAACATCAGCACCTTATTCTCTACTAGACCCAAGCCAGTTTAGCTCCAGCGCCATTCAGAAGATGACCGAGATGCCACACACACTGACCACCAACACCCTACCTTACGCCTCGACTTTGGGATACCAGAATGGGGCATTTGGTGGGTTAAGCTGCCCCAGCCAACATACCCACACTCACCCATCTCCAACTAACCCTGGTTATGTTGTGCCCTGTAACTGTACAGCATGGTCTACATCTAACTTGCAACCTCCAGTTGCCTACATATTGTTTCCAGGCATGACTAAAGCTGGTTTAGACCCATATTCTTCTGCACACACTACAGCCATGTAATAAAGAATATTATGCAAGCGGAAACTGCAGGTATATACATCTCTGGTGGTGTATGTACAGAAAGACTGCCAAAAACAGGAACTAGAAAGATAGAGAGAGAAAGAAAGAAAGAAAGAGAGACGAACGATACTTTATTTGGACCAATTTATCCCCTTGATCCTGGCAGAATAATACATCTCATTGTGAAGAGGTCCTCAATATTTCTTCACCCAGTCTTGAGGATAATTGAAAGTTGTTGCCAGGACAAATTGTAAGATTTGTACATGTCGACCTTGTTTTTTTCCTTTTAGAATCTCAAAAGCGGACAGTAATGATTTTATTTATTCATTTTGATGTACATGGGTTTGTCTTTTATTTCGTTGTGATTTAACCTTGAATTTTAAAGGAGCTGATATTAAATTATTAAAACAATTGGCATTCTTGCCCCAAATATTTTATTTACACATATATGTCGCTTTGGTGGGTTGGAGGGTGGGTAGGCGGTAGTAAAGCTATTTATTTACCCTTAAAAATACCTGCATTTTGTGTAAAAAAACAAACAATTCAAATAAGTATCTAAAAATTGGAGTTTAATTATGAATACAGCCTAGACTTGGTTGTAGAACTCTTAAAATATTTATTTTCTAAATTAAGTCAGTGTTCATATTTCTAAGACTTTCCCTTAGTCACTGCAAGGTAAACCATGAAATCATATTTGATATCATTAGGGGAAAACCGCTATTAAATGCAATATTTACATATTGGGGGAGATGACTTAAAAGACCCCTCAGTCTTTCTGTTCTTCCCATATATGGCATTTTTTGTTGGTCAATAATATTTCAAATAAAGACCTTCTTGGCGTTAAAATACGTTTATGTGTTCTAGCAGATATTACTTGCTACAAAGTATCAGTAATTCGTATCATGTTTTGCTGGACGTTTCATAGAAATTCATTGGTAGATCGGATACTTTGTTGGATATTAATATTGGACAAATAATAAATTAACATCACATATATAACAATGCATAGAGGATGCAATATGTTAAAATTATTACATACAAATATATAAAAATATATATTCATTAGCTTAATGTTACTTTTATATGTTTTTGTAGCTTAACTTGATTAAAATTTCATTTCAGTATATATGTGTGTGTGTGGTGTGTGTGGTGTGTGTGTCTGTGTGTGTGTTTGTTTGTTTGTGTGTGTGTGTGTGCTTGTTTGTGTGTATAGTGTAAGTATATAAAATAGAATTAATTTACGAATGTACTGAGCATTGTATCTGATGCACTGAAACAAATATTCCACCAGCATCCTAGTTCAATATTGGTAGATAAATATTTACATTTAAATAACTGGCATTGATAATGTCCTCCAGAACAAAACAAATTGCATGCCTCTTGCATTAGAATATGTGTGACTTCTACACAATGATCTTTTCTATAAACAATGCTGCTTACAAAATCCCATCCCCCCCCCCTTTTTTTTTTTTGGTTATTTAAAAAAAAGCGAAGCTTAGAATTAATTCAATGTGGTTTTAGAAGGTTTTAATTACTGGCTTGCATCTTTAATGGGATATGCATGAAAAATAAGTGAAATGTATTATAAGGAATTCATGGGGAAATTCTGTCTACAATATAGAAAAAAAAAAGGCTTCAAAGATTTTATTATTCTATTCAGTGTTTATTAAGGAGATTTGATGATTAAGTACAGAACAGAAATTATTTTTTTTTTAATTTCATATAAGAATAGATGTTTGAAAGAGATGATGGTTCTAGATTGGCAACAGGTGAATTACTTTACAAAGTGGTGCTTTTATTGATGTATGTTTGTTTATATGGTAAAACACTCAGATACACAATTGTGATGAATGACAAAACAACCTGATATTAGAAACCAATAGATGTGTATACATATTATTTCACTGCTTAACATTACTCATTGATGATTGATTTTTTTTCAAGAATAATAATAATTTGCAGAATAAAACAGGCCAGTGAAATGACAAAATAATTGATACTCCGCAGAGAACAGCTGATTTATCCTTGGAAATAAGAAGTGGATTAGCATTTAGTGTCAAACAATTAGCAGACTGAGGAGTTCTTGGAATAAATTCATTATCTGGGCTATTGTTATGAGAAGATTTTCATTAAATTCTGTCTGTTATCCATCTGCCTTCCTTGGAATAGTTAAATGATTCCCTGATGTTAGTCTTTCTCAGTACTTGTGCCTGTTGGAGGCTGTTGCTTGGAGAGAGGGTAAGATACAATTTAAACATTCATTTGAGTTCTGAATGGGACTGAGCAGAATAAAAGATATATTAATAAAAAATAAAAAAAAGAATTTAAGAACAGCAAAAAAAAACCCAAACAATTAGGGGTTAGGGGGAATAAATGAGTCATTGTGTAGCATCAGACGGTTTCAGATACTCTTAACATCTCAAAACAAATAGAGACAGGCTTAAACTATACCTTTAGGGCATTTAAAGAGCCAGGAACATTAATGGCAAGTGCCCAATTCTGACCCTGTTGCACTCCTTAGACTTGTAACAGAACACAGCTGACAGCACGAAGAAGACAAGTGTTTAGTGATTTAACCCTAGCAGACTCCAGCTGTCATTGTCGTTAGCAACAAGCAAACATCACTGTCTTCTGTTATCTCTTTAAATTGGTTTTACATATAACCCCCTCTTTGTATAGACAGAGCGTGTGTGCACCTCATTCTAAAGATCCATTCTTGTTGTAAGTGTAAATGTTCTTTAAATCCTCTCTTGTAATAAAGATCGCATTATTTTACTTGTATTTTCAGCTACATATACTCTGCACCTGCCTGCGGTTTAAATGGTCAATCTTATCTTTAGAGTAACTCAATATTTTAATTTCGTTGGTTTTAGATCATCTGGAAGCTAATGACATTTTGACACCTAATCTTTGTTCCAATGTATGGCATCTTGTTATTTAAAGAAAATTACATTCCTTCTTTAAATATGTCCTTATAGAAAGGGGGGCTTGACAAGTGAAAAATATCCTTTTTTAAAGTGTATTATTTAATGATTCTCAGTATCATCAGATGGGCTTGGACTTATTGCTGCAAAATATTGTGCAAGTTTAATTCAATGTGTGGTGAACTAAAATATATCCAGTGATCAAATGTAATATAGGCATTGATCAAACATAATATGAATAGTGCCCAAAATACAGCCAAGACTCAAATAGTATTAAATCAGGCAAATTTTACATGTAATATAGTTAGTGATCAAATATAATATAGACAGTGATAAAAATGCAATATTGATAAAATAGTAATAATAAAATAATAATAATAATGTATTCAATTAAATATAGTATAGCCAAGGATCAAATATAATATAGCCACTGGTTATAAAATAATATAGGTAAAGTTTATAAAATAATAAAGCCAACATTTAAATATACAGCCAGACAGCAAATGTAATATAGCCACTGATTATAAAATAATATAGCTAAAGTTTATAGTCAAACACTAAAATATAGTAACAAACAATTGTCAATAATGCAGGCAGCGATCAAACAACAATATAGACAATAAATAAATATTATACAAGCAGAAACCATTTGTTATGTTTCCTTATTACATGTGTAACAACTAATAAGCCTAGAACAACACTTTAATCTAAATGTATACTTCCTGATAAAATTATCATTATAATTATAAATAATTCTGGTGATTTGCTTGACTTCCACAGCACATATTTTGATATCTTTGTTAATTGTAGCAGGGCCTAACATTGATGCAAACTGTATATCCTAAACTTTCTTTTAAAAGATTTCTAAGGAGAATAAAGACATTATATAATTATATATAATAATGCACAAAGGTAAATAGAATAACTCTATTTAAATATATATTTTTGTCTAAAGAGTTTTATTTGTTAGCACACTTTACATACATAATCCTTTTAAAGTATGCCACTTAAGTGCTGATATATAATATATATCATATGTACATATTTTCATAAAACCTTTCACTCCAAATATAGTTAATAAATTAAACCATTACATTTTTTAAGTACTGCCAATTTAGACATGAAATAAAATGTGTAAAATCTTTAATCAGATTAACATTATTAATAATCCTTCAAATAATGCCAGCAATGAGAAGTAATAAGATATAAAATAGTTTTCTAAGTCCACGTTTCGGTGTAATTGTATAGTGTTCTTTCTGATTATTTGAAGATACCTTTCAGTTGTTAAAACATAACTGTCGATGTATTCATTGTATCAAGCAGTGCTGGCCATTGGGAGGTGACAGGTGATTACCCCAGTCTGTTAGTGTATATAGAGTGTTGGCTGGGTTCTGGTCAGGCATTGGGAACGTTCCTGCTAGATGAAGTGAATATTGTATGTTTGATGTGTGTGTTCTTACAACATTCCCCAGAGGGAACAACTGAATCATGTCGAACCTGTTTATCTTCCTCTAGCTTCTTGTGTGTTGAAATCTTTAAATACAGAGTAAGTTCCATTATCAGAGATGTATTCAAGAAAACCATGTAATAGATCTATCTATCTATCTATCTATCTATCTATCTATCTGTCTGTCTGTCTGTCTGTCCACGTGATCTGTACTTGTAGAGTTAATTGGGGCTGTGTAATTTTCCGTTTATTTAAATACCAACATAAACACACACATGCACCCATAAAGCAATGTATTAAACAAATAACACATTATTCACATTTTAACATGTTTATTTTTTTATTAGTATATAGCCATTCTGCAGATGACAACCTGAAATATACTCTGAAAACATTAGTAGGATTATTTATTAAAGTGAGTAATTAAAGTACATTTATAGTGGATTTCAAATTTAAGGCCAGATTAGCTGATCGAAAAGCTTAGATAATTTAGGGAATTCTAAATTTGGCAGCTTAGACCTTACATTTGAAATTCACATTGAATTCTCATTTTGGTGAAAAAACATAATTTTATAATATTTTAAATACCTGATTTAGTAGATTGAAACATTTAAGCCTTGTGCATTCCTGTGTACACTGTTCATGTACAATGTATTTGTATGTGTGCATTGAACACAGTTTCATCTGAAGTGTCTACCAGTCTGATATCCACATCTTCGAGTTTAAATTCACAGTATACATGGGGAGATGTGTGTCACAGTGGACTTAAATCTTTATAAATCCTATGATTTGACAGTGCTCTTGATATCTCACCATGTTTCAAAAACACACACCGCAAACACACACACACACACACACACTCACTCACACACACACACACACACACACACACACACAGTCAATCTATCTTTCTATCTATCTATCTATCTATCTATCTATCTATCTATCTATCTATCTATGTATCTATCTATCTAATCTGTCCACCCGTTTTAGATTGTATTTCATTTGAATGCACTATGATCCTGTGTATATGTTTTATAGTGAACACTGTTTGTAGTATTATATTGGCATTTATATTTTATATGCAGGCAGTCATTTCTAAGAAAGGGATAGATACACACATTCAGATGAATTCAGTTAAACAAACATGCACAGAGGGTCCTCACAATCTTTTCTATCAAATAATTGTTATCTAACAAAACGAAAATGCAAAAGTCAAAACAACTGAAATCACCTATTCAAGAAAACCCACTTCCCACCTTTACCCCCCTTTAATAATAACTATTGTAGACCTGTAGATATAACTGCAGCGCTGCATAATGTCACTTAAAAAGCTTTTATCTGTACAAACACTAATATCTAATGGCTATTTATGTAATATTTCACCTGCTAAATCTTTCTGTTAAAGTAGAGCGATTTATACAGTGATCAGAAAAAAAGCAGAGTAAACTGTGCATTGGTGAATGATATATTGTCTCTAATATGTAGAGAAAATATATAGGGAGAGAAAAGAGAGAGTGGGGAATTAAGAATAGAGAGATGGAGAGCATGGGTATGGGAATTAAGAAGAGAGTGATAGAGAATGTATGAAAGACGAC